ACCTGCTGCGGGTGGCGGCCAAGCCCCGCGCCCGCGAGGAAGGGAGGGATGCGGGGTTTGTAAAAATAAATATAACCCACGGGTTATATTTGCTAAATTATGGTATTTCTCGCATCCTTTTTTCGCTAGCGATTTGGTAAATGCATCCACTTCTATATAGCCGGCGAATATCAATGTTTATGTAGGATACCACCACAGCTCCTAATTTAACACAAATACCTTTATTCAATCTAGAGGCCAAACTGTATGCAATTGCTCCCAACATGTCTAAAAGCTTAAGCAATAAACAGTTACCATCAGAGAATAATGCACACTCATAAGCATTTGATCAGAATATTCATGAAAGACTCAGTTCTGGGATAACCCTTGCATCCTGGCTTGCTTCAGTGTGATTGGCTAGGATCTGATCAATACCCTTAGCAAGCATGGTCCTTTTATACAGAGCAGCAAACAAATAATGTCATGATCTGTTACTATCCTAGCTAAAATTTGGTTCATTACACACAATCCTTTAATTGTTACAACCATTCCAGTTAAATGGGGTCTTTCCTAACCATTTTTCCTTCTATGTTATCAGTTACCTTTTAGGTCTCATTTTTCCTGTTAAGTCACATTCCAAGTCCAGTATTTCCAGTCAAGAATACCATTTTTCAAGGCCTTCCCATGACTGCAAGCCATATATTTGCTTTAACCAAGCTAATGTATCTACTTGTATACCAATGTTCTCCAACAACAGTTATATCTACAGTGTTTATGCAATCATTGCATCAGGAAATTAAAAAAAATGTTCCCAAGAGTTCCACAGGCTTCTTTAAATAATTGTAGAGAATTTAAAAATACTATTGAAGTGTGAAACCATAGAACTATCCCATCCTCTGTGTAGATAAAAATGTGGGGTTTTTTTCCATACTGTATGATTACTAGTTGGACTCATTATCAACACAGCCTAGATGCTTACTGTTTTGTAGTATCACACACTGTAACCTTTTTCCTCTACTGCAAAAAGTAATAGAATGGCTGAAAAGGTGCCATGCTAGAATATTTCTATATTAAATTACTAAGGGACAGGTTCTGCTATATACACTCATATGCAAAAACAATAAAAATGGAATGTATCTAGAATGAAGTATTGTTATGAGCTGAGTAGAAACTTGTTAGACATAAAACTGCCACCTAAGACAAAAGGAGAGTGGGAAACTATAAGGGAGGTTTTTGCTGAGGATTGTTTTGGGCTGGTCTGGGATAGGAGGCAAAACTGGAATGACAGAGAGAGAGCACGTTCCTATAGGAATATCTGTGAAGTAGCTAACCCCTGGGAAAAAAACTGCATATTTGACATCTAGGTCAGTGTTTTGATGTTCATCAGGATTAACCCCACCACAATCAAATCTCCATCACAATTTGCAATAAAAAACACCATCACCATTCACGTGATGTGACAATAGTACACAGTAGCAGCTACCCTGAAGAAGTCTGCTAAGATGTCTGGACACCCTGATCATGGTTGGGCAGTTCAGAAGGCAAAGCAGCTAGCTTGGCATACATGACTTTTGGCATCTCCCTGGTCACTGGCAAAAAGCCTTTGCAAGACACATCACCTAAGTGTTTCCATTTGTATGAACTGAGTGATCAGGTTATCAATAAAAACAACAAGGAGTCCATTGGCACCTTAAAGACCAACAATTTTATTATGGCATGCGGCTTTCATGAGTTGCAACTCATGCATCTGACGAAGTGAGTTGTAAATCATGAAAGCTTATGAAATAATAAAATTGTTAGTCTTTAAGGTGCCATGGGACTCCCTGTTGTTTCTGCTGACACAGACTAACACAGCTACCTTTGAAACAGGTTATCAATAGAAATCCTCTACAGGTCAATGGCAGGAAATGTGCTAGCAACAAATGTTGAAACAATTTATGGATATCCTTGAGCAAGAGAACGAGAATAAGTATTGATCATATTGAAACGCCTTGTTCTTGTGGGCAGAGCAATACATGAACTGAAATCTCTCTAATGCCTGACATGCACACAGTTTTTGTACTGTGCCTACCTGTGCCAGTTAGGATTGTCTTTTTTTTTTAAACACTGAAATAGTTACACCATTACAACCTCTCGTGTGGATGCAGTTATACCAGTATAAAGGTGCGCTAAACAAGCATAACTTATTCCCCTTCTTCTACAGGAAAGCCTATAAGCACCTTAAGAACCCTACAGAGTTACAGCTGTATTAGAGGGATTGTACTGATTTAATCACACTGTTTATATATGTGGGTAGATAGGCCCCAAGATTTTGCTTTGGTGTCTTCCCACGTACAATGCTCCCCTTTACAAAAAGATCCAAATACTTTCTTGAGGGAGACCTATGCTCCCTATAACTAGTTTAATTATACGGAATAGGGGCCTATAAAAAATACTCCTTCCCCGCACGCTCTATACCAATGCCCTGGAAGTACAAAGTTCTACTGTATAGCTTTGCCGTGCTCCCTTTCCCACTACCTTAAGTTGTTTATATATTGCCTGTTAAAAGGCAGGCTCTCGGCAACAGACATCTTGTCTTCTTATCTAACTGGAAAATGCTTAATATGTTGCTGTAGCAGCAACACAAATAATAGGCCACATTCTATATCCTTTGCACCCCTCTGAAAGAACAAAGGACACGGATACCTGGCTTAATTAGCCAGTCAGAAAATCACCTGGCACTGGACCATTTGGGGAACACAGTCAGCTCCATGCCATTGCCACCCCTACCTCCCACCACTTCTCCAAGCATCAAAAGGTCTTCTGGGAAGTAGAAGCTGATGTTCCTCATGATGGAAGCAAGGTGGCAGAAAATTAGTTTCACTCTTTTCTCCTCAACTACACCAAACAGAGCGCAGGCCCAGCAGGTGATATCAAAAGGAGATTTAAAATAAAACAACATCAACAAACCTACCACCCTGAAATAAGGAACAGTTTTAACGCAACATTGAGAAACATGTAGGCTTGCTTTCCACTTAGCACTTTTCGAAACACTCTGCAAAATACATTCAAGTCATTGACGCTTCATTTTAGCCTCGCATAGAATCTGAGCTAGAATGCTCTGGAGTCCAGGAAGGAACTTCATGGTGCTTTCTAAGAGGGCTGTGTAGAAACACAGGCATGGAGTAGTAGACCGATTATTTCCTGGCAATTATAGAACCCTTGCAGGATACAGCTCCCCAGCTCTGACTCAGGGCGAGAAAAAGCAAGAAAGGTGATTTCTCCTGCTGCCCTCAGGTAGAATCTCAATTTGCAGGTACATTAGAGTGTTATTTTTGTTTTCTGACTCTCTGGGAGAGCTAAGATTTCCTCTAAATAGTTAGAACTGATGGACAGCCAACATTCATAGACTTCTCTGACCCCACATGTATACTCTTCTCTACTTCCGAGCTAAATAATAAACTCGAACCCTTTTTTACCATCAATACATTTCTACTGAAGATGAAGGGCAGCATCTGACCTTAGTCTAAGGGCACGTCTAGACTACATGCCTCTGGCGACAGAGGCATGTAGATGAGGCTACGAGACATAGGAAAAAGAAGCGGTAATTTAAATAATCGCCGCTTCATTTAAATTTACATGCACTGGAACAGTGGGATTCTGGCCCATGAGTGGGACATGTGAATGATACTGCAAAAGAAATAATGAATAATAACTACCTGGGTGGTCGACAAATACCTTTGATGTCGACACCCTCGCGTCCAGACTATCACGCTGAGCCGACAAACAGCTGATCAGCTGTTTGTCGGCTCAGCGTGATAGTCTGGACGCGAGGGTGTCGACATCAAAGGTATTTGTCGACCACCCAGGTAGTTATTATTCATTATTTCTTTTGCAGTATCATTCACATGTCCCACTCATGGGCCAGAATCCCACTGTTCCAGTGCTCTGCAAACATATGCATCTAAGAGAGCCCCTGCTTCAAAAAGTTTACAATTCAAGTAAAGCATGGGGATCCTTTCAGAGTTCTGCAAGAAAAACTTCTTGGTTGGATCAGATATACCTATGTGAAAAATATCAAAATCTTCCCTTCTAACCTGCGTATTCTATGTAACAGAAAAAAGAACACCACTCTGGTCACACGAACTTAAAGAAATCAAGAGTCATTCATCTGTGACACTCACACAAGCAATACATATTGGAAAAGTGACACATCAGAAATCATATTACTAAAGAAATTTCAGTGTCCTTCTATTTTCAATCTATTCGTTTAATACCAAACATGTAATATGTACTATTAAATCTTGGACAAGGTAAAAAAAATGCTTCACTTTTGTATAATCTATTTCTTCTTAAGTTACTGCAGGACCATGGGGACAGGTATGTGAAGGGAATCCTACAAACGAAATAAGAGGCTGTGATGACTTTGGCTGTGGATATTATACTGCTCCAAGGTAGTATATGGAGATCACTTTTCATGTGTGTGGAATGTGTGTTTTGTTTGTTTATTGTTCCGACTAAAATGGTGAAAGAACTAAGAACTACAACTTCTGAGTTTAGCCATCTGTTAAAGCATTCAACACTTCCCACATGTGTCAGAAGGAGACCACTGCACAGCAGCTTGCCACACATGCATCACAGCAACAATCCTTCTAATGTGTATTAATCCTCATATGACAAAATCATACTGAGAATAGAGGGAGATTTCTCCCCATGACCCATTCTGTTCTTGGCTCTGACTGATGGGTCCTTAGTTACATTAGTGCTATTTCTAAGAATTTTTGTGGTGGGGACAAGACATCTGATCTCTAGGACGTGGCAGGGCAGCACTAGTTAAGAAATAACACTGAAATGGTCCCAATTCTACATACTTGCATGATCCTCATAGCCCCAAGCTCATAGGTCAGATGCTTAGCCCATGTATGTCAGCATAGCAGAAATGAAGTCACTGGAGTTGAACTGATTTATACCAATGGACATTTCAATATCCTGTTGAGCCTTGCAAGAGAATGAAAAATCTGTAGTACCATGAACTAATTAGAGAACTGGTGAAAATATCAAAACTAATAATTTACCTTCTTGTCTCATAAAAAAAGGGCTTCTTTTACTCCTAGGTCTTCTGGAGAAATTGTCCTTTTGCTCGAGGAATTTTTCTGGGTTTTTACAAATATCAGATACCTCAAAATGTGAAGGTTTTTTGGTTTGATTTTTATTTTTTTAACAAAGGGAAATATATATATATATATATGTATGAAGGGGAAGGGAGGTTTTACTTAGTTTTGTTTTAAAACCCTGGTATATCCCAAGAACACTCAAAAAGTGTAAACGTGAAGATTTTATTTTTTCAGTAATTTTCAGATTTTTGACTCATTCTGATTCATGACAAAGAGAAATTTGCAATGATTAAAACTGGACTGAAACTTTAAACCCTTCTGCCTCCATTGCACAAATACACATTTGAAACACAACCAAGCTAATAATGGTAGCTATGGCCCCTAAATAACCCACACATCTAATGTTAGGCTTTGGGGCTAATGAATATGTTAAACTGCATTGTCTCATACTTCCACATTTACACCTTTGCAGACAGCAAGGCAGTAGAATGCACCTAGGGGTGGATGTTACATGCCAAGATGGCTCAGCAGTGTATGCTCCCTTCACTGGCATGATTGACAGACGACACAACCCCGATGGTCCGAAATCTATCATTAAGAATGGTCTCCGACTTCGTGGATCTGGTAACTGAGCTACTATAAACCAATACTGATCACAGATTTATCGTTAAATAAGTTTACCTTCTATTCTTAATCAATTGAGAGATAAGGTAGAAGCACAACTTAAACTTAGAAGTTAAGCAAATCATAACTGTATAAAGTAGGCCAATACCAGTTTTTCCACTCAGAACTGTCTGGTTCTTTTTTTAAATACAAGTAAAACTTGTTCACTCAAATGCAAAGCAGGCCACATTCAACAGTGACATCTTCCTTTCCCGCAATAGCTTGCCAGCCACTTCAACAAAGGAACACTTTTGGCCCTCATTTTTGAAGAAAACCAAGAGGAAAAGGAGAGGAGAAAAATAAAAGAGGGAGCTTGAAATACATGATAGTTTGTTTCCATAAGAAAAAAAATGATCCCTCCCTGAGGCTATGTACACTACACTGTTCTTCCAGAAAACTTGCAAACTGCAATTTGATCAGCTTTTTCCGCTTCTTTTTTCGGAAGAGGCTTTTCCAACATTTGGCCTGTCTACACTAGACCACATATAAAAAACCCCCACTTTTTTGGAACATCCCTTTCTCCTTGTAAAATGAGGTTTACAAGGATGCCAAAAAACCGCGCCCACTTTTCCGACATTTTTTTCAAAAAAGTGGACACTTTCCTTGGTGTCCTGGAAAAGCTCTGCACTCCAGACATAGGAAAAATGTTTGTATTCAGGCTAATAAACCCAATACAATGAATGCTATTAGCTAGACTGCTCTAGTGCTAACACAAATGGCAGAACAAGATTGAAAGATAATATACTTGCCAGAATACAATTAGCTCAGCAATCAGATAATGATCAAAGTTTGATGTTTCCTTTATCCTTCCTAAATCTTTTCCCCCTCCTCTTCCCTCCTCTCAAGGTTTCTGTGTTAATATGTTCTTCGTCAAACCTGTTACATACAGAGGGTGGTTCAAAAAAGGGGAAAAAATTGCAGATATGCTGCCAATGCAAGAAGTACATCCTGGAATAATATCTTACGTTCACATCCAGAACTGTGACTTCGCCAATATCACTCACTACTTATAAATGGAAATGTATATTGAATGTAAATGTACAAGATCCCAAATAAAATCATCTGAGTGAACAAAAGGAAATTTCTTCCTCTGATGGAGTAAATACTAAAATGCAGTCCATGAGAAAGGAAAAGATATTTTACACATACAGAAAAATAAAAGTGTATATTACTTCTGGGGGAATGCCACACCATTGCATGCCCACGGAATTCATGTCTCCCACAGGTTTCTTTGCTTCCCTGCAGAAAAATGACTTTGAGGGGCAAGCAAGGAAAGCCAAAAGAAGGGTCACACACCACTCCCCAAGGAATCTGGTGGAGAGGTAAATCACTGGGAGGAGGGGATGCTCTGGCCAATGGTTCCTAGTCTGTGCTGGACTCAGTTACTAATCTGGGGTGGGCTGCAGAGGGAGGGAAGATGAAGCCAGAGACGGAGCTGAACCTCAGCTAAATTCTAACTTGATTAGCTTCACAGAGACTTACATCTTGTGAAATATTGGAATAGAACAAGATGACTTTGTTAAGAAAGACAGGCAGGGAATACAGGAAGGGGATGTTGGATTATACAGCAAGAATATGTACACTTGTTTGGCGGTCCAGAAGGAGGTGAGAGGCAGATTAGTCAAAAGTTTCTGTGTAAAGATATAGGGGGACAAGTAAAGGAGACATTATGCGAAGGGCCTGCACCAAATCAGGAAGAAGAGGTGAAGGAGGCATTTCTAAAACAGTTAACAACCATCAACAACAAAAGACCTGGCAGTAATGGAGAATTTTAATTACTGAGGTACCTGTTGGAAAAGTAACACAGCAAAAAACAAAATTTCCAAGAAATTATTGGAATGGAAGGGGAGGCTTTCTGTTTCAGAAAGTAGAAGAAGCAACCCAGGAGACAGCCATTTTAGACTTGATTCTAAGCAAAAAAGGAGGAATTGATGGTGAATCTGAAGGTGAAAGGCAATTTGGCTGAAAATGATCATGAAATGATGGATGTCGTGGTTCTAAGGAAAGCAGCAGAATAAGCATCATTACCCTTAAGCTGGCAGTTTCTCAAAGCATAACCATAATGATTCCTATGTAAAGGAACAATAGGAGGAATAAGAAGAGACCAATGTGGCAGCATCAGGAGCTCTTTAATGATCTGAAAATCAAAAGGGAATCTTACAGACAGTAACAATGCTAAGAAGGAGTACAAAAGAATAACACATGCATATAAGAACGAAATCTGAAAAGCCAAAGTATAAAATGAGTTACACCTACGAAGGGTCATCAAATTCTATAAGAAAAAGGTTTTTGGAAATAAAAGGGAGGAAAAATGAAGGGATGTATAGGCCTCTACTTGGGGAGGAAGGAGACAGAGCTAATAACTGACATCAAGAAGGGTTCGATATCTCTTGTGCTTCACTCGTCACTAAAAAGTTAATGGTGGACAAGTACTCAACACACTTAATATTAACAATGAAGTGGAAGGAACACAAACCAAAACAGAGAAAGAGCAGGTTTAAAATATTTAGTTAAGTTAGATGCATTCAAGTTAGCAGAGCCTGATGAAATCCATCATAGGCTTGTTAAATTATCTGATGCAGTCTCGGAACTGTTAGCAATTATCTTTGAGCACTCCAAGATGAGGTCCCAAAGGACTGGAGAACAATATCTCTCTTTGAAAATGGGAACAGAAAGAATCCAGTAAACTATAAAGTCGAGAGTGTAATTTCGATAATAGGGAAGATACTGGAACAAATTATTAAACAATCTATTTGTAGCACATAGAAGTGCTATTCCTTATAGTAGTCATCATGAATTCATCAAGAGCAAATTGTATCGGTAGTGATCCCTCAGACATGAGTAGGGAGGGAAGCCACTCTGCCTATCTACTAGCAGACTACAAATCACAGTCTTATAAGAGAGAACTCCAATCCCCTGGGTGGGGCAAAGCACAACAGTCGTTAGCTCAGACACCTGGCTGGGGCAGGCAGCTACCAACAAACACACATGGCCTTCTAACCTAGGGATAAATAGATCACCACCTCAGAATGGCAGCTGCTGGCAGGGCCGTCCATAGAGGGGCGCTGGATCTGAGGCAACCTGCCCCTCTCCCAGCTCAGTGCTCCAAGGTGCTCTGCTTCCTGCTGCTGTGGAAAAGTGGAGCGCCACTTATTGGGAGGTGGCGGGGGAGGGCATAGCAGAGCAGCTGCTGGATCACTCTGAATCCTTCTGCTGCGGTGAGAGGGGTGGGGTGACCCCTACTATCACCCTGCGCCAGGCCTCCCGGTAATCTTCTGCACCACCTTGGGCCCCATCCATAGGACACTTGAGGCAGCCACCGCAGGGCCTCCCAAAGTCTACAGACAGGATGGCTCTGGCTGTTGGCAGGGGGTAAGGGATGCAGGCCCTCCTGATTCCATCACATCCCAGCCCTGGGCCCTAGCAGTAGTGGAGTGTTCTGCCACTGGGTTAGAGGGGAAGCCAGCCTCAACACCCGGACTCGCACTCCAGCAGCAGAGCCAGACTAGAGTCTGGTCCCCCTGGACTACTTCCTTCACAGACTAGATATAGGGTCCTGTGGTCCAAAGAGCCTCTGTCTCCTTAGAGTATTCAGCAGCAGGTATCTCTGGCAGCTCCTTAGGATCCTCATCCTGCCTTCCCTGATGGCAAGGGATTAGCTCGCCCTAGGACTGGGTAGGCTTCTTGCAGCGGTGCCTCAATAGCCCCCGAATTCCAGGGTTCTCCTTTTCTACTTCCTGCCCCCAGCTGGGGACTGGTCTCACTCGAGTGTGTGGACGTGAGTGTGTGGGGTGAGGTGGCTTGGCTTCCAATTGGGAGGGAGACCACTCCACCTCCCTACACTGTCTATATGATAGTCATAAGTAAGGTGGTTTTTTTACGGTCATGTGTTATTCCAACATCAGAAAGGAGCATGCTCCAGTGATGATAGGACTAGACTAAGGGTGTGTCTAAATTACACCTCTCTGTTGGCAAAGGGATGTAAATTAGACACATTGAAAGTGCAAATGAAGCCAGGATTTAATTATCCCATGCTTTATTTGCATAATGGAAGCCACTGGTTCTTTTCGAAACTGAGCTTTTAAAAAAAATGGCAGTTTAGATGGGGCTTTTTTCACAGAAATGCCCCATTTCTAAAGTTCCTGTACTCCTCATTTTCAAGCATTTTGGAGGACAGAATTTAGAGTTCAAATCAGCTGAGACAAATTGGAGAATAGGTCTGAAATCAACATGATGAAATTCAATCAAGATGAACCTAGGGCAATCAAGATGAACCTAGGAAGGGAAAGATCAAGTGCCCAAATGGAACATGGGGAATATGTGGCTAGCGGGTAGTACTGACGAATGGGAAATGGGGATTAGAGCGAATCACACACTGAAATCCCTTCCACAGGAGGTTTTTAAGATCAAGTCGGACAAACACCTGTCAGTGCTGGTGGAGGTTTGCTCAGTCCTTTGCAGGGGGCCGGAACTGATGGGCCCTTGGGGTCCTTCCCAGCCCTCCATTGCTTTGATTCTGTACATTCCAATGTCCCTTTTAAAATCTGTATGTGGTGGTGAACATTGAAAATCGAAAGCTCTGTTTGCACTCCGAGGCCTGAAGCCCTAGGAGCTGGCTGCTGACACCTGCCAACGAATAGGCTAAGAAGCAACACAGAGCTGCTTTAAAACTCCAGCTGGACAGAGGCTCCATAGGGAAAGGAGTTCTCTGCTACCATCAGTGCTTGATGAATCGCTGAAGAAACAGCACAGAGCTAAGGCTGTGAGGTGAGCTAAGGTGGCTTTGGGGGAGTGGGCTGTATTGAGCCGGGGCAGTGGACTGGGCTAGGTTGGCTGATGCAGCTTTGAGGGGGCATATGGAGCGGAGCTGCAGCAGTTTTGAGATAGCAGACAGTGCAGAATCGTCACGGAGGCAGCTTGGACAAGAGTAGCAACCTAGCCGGGGGTCTCTTTGCAGGCTCCTTCCCCAGCAAATCAATTCTGCAAGGGCTCCTCCCTTAGCTGCCCAGTAGCTATTCCCTTAAAAGCTGGAGACAAACCTGCCCATCTTTTCTGGACTCTGCCAACACTGGAAAACAAGCCACAAGTAGGGAGAAGGACAATGGATGAGGATCACATGCAGTAATGTGTTAGCCATGCAGAGCCAGGAGAGGACTGATCTAAACATGATTGACAAGGCACTTGGGTGATGGCAGTCTTACATAATTCATAGTGTTGCTTAATTAATTGCTAGCTTATTAATGTTTGTTCCCTTTCTTCCCTCCCCCACCCTGGTGCCTACGTGCACAAATCAAATGGAAATAATTTTGTCTGCTGCTGGGGTGGCAGTGAAATGGAAGGATAAGATCTCAGACTTCTGAGTTAATGGCAATTGCATTGATGGTTGGAAAATTAATTTGGATACAATCCCCTCCTTAAACACCACACCAATGTTCATTCTAATCTTGTCCATCCGTGTGCAGATTTTTTTCATCCATGTGTGAAATAAATGTTATGTACACCAAGGCACATGTGAATGTGCACCACCAGTAGAAATAAAAAACCTACCTGTCAGCATGCAGCTAATAGATGGGGTGGCATTTGAATTTCTCCTGAGTGGCTGCACAAGCACAAAGCTAACAAGGAACACTGCTCTGAACCTTCTATTTTATCTCAAGACTTTGCTGTTGCCTAAAACTAAACCCCCTGTTTCAGCTCTAGGTTTTTCTAAAAATGAGTTTAGAATGAACTCCGGGAATTGTGACATATCAACACTGGTAGACACTCTGGCTTCAGCCTGGCAGAGTTAGTTACCTCATGCCACACTTTTAATTAAACGATAAACCAGGATAAATAGTTTTCTGCTTTGCCTCCTCAGAGGAGCTATTCTATGTCCCTACCTCTCCTTAAAAGTCACTTTTGTCTTTTAATGTTCCTCAGAGTTCAATTAAATGATAGTCCTCAGTAAGGTGGGTTTTTTAAGGCCACATGTAATTCCGGTATCAGAAAGGAGCATGATCTTGTGGTGATAGGACTAGCCTAAGATGGAGGGAAATAGACTTCTGGGATGAAGGCTGGCACAACTGATCAAACGAAC